TTTCCCAGTCTCCAAAGCTACACTGTATACACTGTATTTTAATCAAGTTAAGGACTGAATTTCAGCATCCTACATCAGTGAAACCCACAGTTCAAACATGAACAACCTGCTCTGTAGTTAGGCTTAAATAAAATTTTCAATAATTTTAAATTTATTGCCTTATACATAGGTTTGCTTTCAATATTGTGTTGTTGCACAAAATTAGGACTATCTTAAAGGGTTACTTTATCATCTCACTTTACTTGTTATCCCATTGGCACTTAATTTTCTTCTAGATCCTGAAAATGTAGATGTATAGTTATTCACCAGACAAAATGCAAAGTCTATGTGTATGTTCTAGTACTATAACAGTTCTTCAGACTCTCCTGGTTTTGACAGCCATCTTTTCCAATTATTCTCAGTTTAAGCAGCTAGTTTCTCACTGATATAAATATTTCATATCGGAAATAGGAAATTTATCAAATTGAAATGTAGTCTTTGCACTGCATGAGGGCACTAATAGCATGCTGTTTCTGCCTTAATTCTTGGCATCTTTGGGTGCAGGTTTCAGTACCAGAGTCAGACACTTAAGGATCAACCCCTCAGCTATTTCTACAAAGACAGATTCTCTAGTTTTAGGTAGCATTACTGAACTGTCTCCTGCAGAGAGAGACACAGACATCTGGTGATACTATCCATTTCAAGGTCAAGGCCTTAGACGATGATAAACATCTGTTTTCAGGAACTCTTTCTGTAGGATTTCACACAGAAAATACACTACTTCTGATCACCATGAAAAAGTCAATTAATGTTTCACTTCTGCTCAAAAAAGTATTTTCCTTGTGCTGTTTTACAAGATTTGGTCAATCTTCACCCATTTTGTAAAAAAAAAAACAAATTATAAATTTTAAATCCAGAAGGGATCAAATTCACTATGTATCTAGCCTGTTTTTTGACATGACACAAAGTCCTTGGGATTAACCTGTGCTACTTATTTCCCAACTTTTCCTAAAGTGGAGCAGCAAACCAGCATTGTACTTTTCTCAAAAAGCACAAAAGGGAGTGGATTCCAGCCTGCAGTGAAGTAAGAAAACACTGTGATGAAAACATACTTAAAATAACTTAAAAGAATATTTTGATATCTTTCTTTTGACTGAAGAGAATCGTAGAACACCAATGACTAAAATATAATTCCCCTTTACACCAATTGTGCTATAATATTTCAGTTTGCATCTCAAAATGAGTCTCTTTTAAATAAAAAATGGATCAACCACAAGGGGGTATTGTTTAAAAACAATATTTAAGATATTGCAAAACATCTATAAAGGCATGTTACCAATATGAAATAGCCCCATAAACTTCACATGCAAGAAGTCAGAGACCAGCAGCAAATCAAAGGGGTCTTTTTAACTTAAACATTTTAACTCCAGAAAAAACTCTTAAAAATATACATGATATTACACAAACACTACATATGACAAAAACAAAATGTGAAATCAGAAGTGAAAAGGAAACCATAAAGATGTAGGTAATAAGGTTAACTTGTTAATACTACCAACTTACCAGGTCCAACACTACACAGTTTTTCCCAATCTTACGGGAAAAATTCTCAGAAAACAAATTTTTAAATTTAACTAAGTATATGGTTTACTTTAGGATGGGCTTAAATAAAGCACATGTTATAAGTCACATTTATGGTCACTATAGGATTTTGCCAGAAGCAAAAACGTAAACTGTCTCGTCACATAGCTTAGATGAAGTTATGGTACCATAGCTCCGCGTGCTTGGAAGGAAAGCTAGATCAGACTGAAGCCAGAATTTCTTGTGATGATGAGGAGTTAAAATGAATAGTTACATTTCCTTCTGTCATATTGCACATACCAGAGCATAAATATTGCCTGTTGTAATAAAGGATTATTTTCAATCATTTGAGAAGAGAACAGCAAGATGTTGGTCCTCTCATGAAGAATGTTCTGTTTCCCTTTTGTTGTGACTATCAATGGAGCTATTTATCAACTAATAGCTGTGATTAATGCTGGCATTGCTAGCCACATAAATATAACTTCAATCTTTCCCCTTTTCTTCTGGGAATGTTGTGGTGTCTCTTTTTATAAATTTGGGGAAGACAAAGTGTGCAGAACATTCATGACATGACAATTCAACTTTGAATTCCAAGACTGCAATATGTTCAGCAGCAGGTTTCTGAACAGATATGTGAAACTGCAGTTCAAAAATTAAAGAACAAAAAGCTAAAACTAAAATGAAATTCTTTTCTACCATGTAGTTCAAGTATTCTTTCAGAGTGAAATTCACAGTACTTGCAGAAAATTCAATTGTCAGGCTTCAAGCAGAGGATCTGGAAAAGTTTTGGAGGAATGGGGTGTTATGCGCTGTTAAAGACTTACAATGTAAGACTCCTCTGAGACAGTTCTGGGATAAATCTTCCAAGCTCTGGTTTTAATATCTAACACATCTGTCTCAGTAGCTCCATTTAGCATTTGGATATATATTCTTACCCAGTGTCTCCCATGGACTGTCCTGTAGTCCCTTGCTGACTCATAACCTGTGATACAAGCACTGCTGCAGCATGCAGGCAATGCAACAGAAACACCAGTGCTGGCTCAGACCAAAGGTGCTGTGAACTCAGTGCTCTGCCTCCATCAGGGCTCTAAGCAGATGCTAACAAAGAATTATTTCCCTCCAATGTCCTCCTAGGCACGAAGAATTTGGAGCAAAGGCCTTCAGAGTTAGATCTGTTTTCTGTGCATTCAATGCCCTTTGTGGATTTTTCTTCAATGAACTCACTGAATCTCCTTCTGCACCCACATAAAACTCCAGTAAAAATTCAGTTTCACATGCCCAGTTTCTTAGTGAAACACAACTGGGACTACCACAGGGATACTTTAAACAATAAAAAAAACCACCCAACTATTACACTCAAGAGAGGATTTAGACAAAATTGAATTCCCAAATCAAGACCCTTTCTGTGCACTTCCCATTCAGCAGCCATCTAACTCCACTAAGCGCCTGCCTAATGCCTGTAAAGTCCCCTCAATTCAAATTCTGCGGGTGCTCCTAAAATCTCACTCTGAGTAGCTCCAAGAGAAAGGGAAAACAAGCAGAAACACAGAGGACAGGCACTTATGAGTGGATGGGTCCTAGCTTGGGGCCCCAGTACAAGCTGCTGTTTCTGTATTTTCCCCTTAAGAAACCAAGGCTCCGTCCTAGAAGTGCAAACCCTGTTGAGATCTGAAACCTGGCCAATGCGGGAGGGAGTACGTCTGAGGCTCCCCACCTGGTCTGAAGGATCTTCTACACTTCTCTAAAATGCAATGCATATTCTCCCTCCTGACAGGCTGCAGTGGCTTGGTAAAACATTCCCTTGGTTGCTCAAGACGGGAGGGCTGAGATTTTTGAGGGACAGGAAGAAATTCAGAAAGGGAGCAGAAAGTAACCCAGGCATTCTGCTTTTTTGGTAAGATTTCTAGCTACGAGACTACTCTGTGAAACTGGAGCCCAACAACTACCTTCTTCCCCAGTATCTTTTCAAAAGAAAGACCAGTACTTGCTCAGCCTTTTGAGAGGCAATACCATCCAAAGTGAATTACAGGCTCCAAAACATGGTGGGCGATGACCATGTACTGCAACCCCAGGGTCTGGGCTCTAGGACTAAGCAGTACTAAGGAAACACCACTCTTGTCGTGTTGCCTCCCAGGTGGCTTGAGGAGAATTCATTGCTGTTCAAGCAGCAGCTTTCCAAACTGACCTTTTAAAGAAGTTGACATTTTATACAGCACCTAGTATTCATTTCAGACCCTGGGATTCCACCTCAGGAGATGGTTCTCCTACCCCTTTGTTTACTCTAGACCTAGAATCCTGTATTATGGGAAAAATAATTACAGATGTTTTCCTTGCATACAAATAATCACATTTACATTCACATTTCTGTTCTTTTATAAATAATATGAATGATGGATATGACTGAATTACAACACATTCAGAAACTGGGCGAGTCTCTCTAGCTCATGGAACAAAAACATTTGAGTATCTATTTTTAATGACTGTCAGGCAAAGCTTGATAGAATATCAATATACCTAGAGGAAGAATATACATAAAAGTTTATTCTTGCAGCAGTGACTATACTAAAAATTCAGTTTCAGGGACATAATTATCAGTGGAGTAATTTCCTACTAACGTAAACAGCCTTCTAGGTTTCTGGTACCATATTTGAGATCTGACAGCAGTCAGTAATTTCATCAGGTAAGCATGGAAAGATCCTGTGCAATACTATTCTTGCAGTTAATTTTTTACTATGGCTTTTTCTCTCTCAAAAGGGATCTATTACAGCAAATCCAAGATAGGCTGTTAGTCAGATTTATCATGCTCACATTGCTGTTCAGGAAGTGGATTACTGACTTAATCTAATTTTAAATATGAGCTGCAATTGCATCTACAGAGTCACTGAGTCAGCCTGCTGTGGTCCTGTGGGTCAAAATACCTTTTAGGAATCCTTTTTATGTCTGAACTACATGTGCGGAACACGTCTCAGAGCAGACCATAAAATACCAGTATGTGATCAGGAGACTGGCCAGCAGGTAAAGCCTGGACACATCTAATGGAGGGGTTTTACTGTTTTTGTCTTTAAACACAGCTCCAGTATTTATCAGTTAAGCAATAAGTAACAAAATAAGTAGCAAAACAGCACTTCTGCGAGCAAGACAGCACAAATTTTCATGGTTAAAGTAAATTGATAATATTCAAAAAGGGAGGAAAATTAGCTAGCAGAAGAATTAAACCCATATTAGCTAAATTTTATTTCTCCTCTTCTGTGGGTTTTGCTAGCCTTAGCTCCTTTTACTCTGTGCTTTTAAGTCAAAGAACCTCTACATAGTTTTAAGCAGAGTTTAACTGACACACTTAGAATTCAAACCTTAATTGTAACTTTAATACCTTCATAGAAATTTACCCAACGGACATGTAACTTCTCAAACATTAAGGCAGTGTTTACCAGCACGCTTACCTCCACGGTCCCGTGCTGCTAGATTCTGTCCTCTCCTTAGAGTAACGTCCAACTGGTACATTCCGGGATCCCCAGAGGGAAAATCTGCATTACTTGTTCCCACCAAATTTGTTCTCTGGAGAAGAAAAAAATAAAAATGCAATAGCTAATGTTACTAAAAGTTTCATGTAAGGTGTATTTTTCTTCTGTATCACCATCCTGTTGAACTAAGACAAGGCTGTATCCCATTCCCCCACCTCCGCGCTAATACCCGAACACCAAGGAACCTGCTCCTCTCATCAGTACAATTCCTGAGCATCCTTTTTTATTTTTAAAAAAAAAAAACAAAAAAACAAAAAAAGG